CTTTGACAGTTTTCAATTAACATGAACTCATATATAGCTATTCGTTATAATTAAATTTTATCATTTTCCAAAATTGTATTTATTTTACATTATTTATTTCTGGAATATTATTTTTTTTTTGTTTTAAATGCCTCTCTTTTTCTATTTCGTTCTGCTCTTCTAAATACATTATATTTAAATCGCACTTGAAATATTAATATTCTAAGAGTAGAAGTACATGAGGAAAATTTATTCTTCCTTAATGATGTCAATTTAAAAATACATGAATGTATTTTGAAAGCAAATGATTTCATGTTAAATTTCAATTTACAAAATGAGTACGCGTTATATGAAGAATATAAACGAGTAAGAAAGAAATCATATACATATATGTGTATATACATACGTACATGGTATTTTTTTTAAAATGTTGAAATTTTAAAGTTTTAGAACACTTTGATTGCTGTTGACTTTATTTCGAAAACTTTTCATTTATGTGCATATTTTTTAAGACGTTTGAAAAAATTTTAAGTATACCTACATATATACATACTTAAATTGAATATTGATAAAAGAGAACCAAAACAATTTTAGTTATTATTTGTATGCTCCGGCGCCAGTTGTTCCATTTGTAAAATCGTATATCAAACTGAGTTAATTTAACGTTGATTACTGTAACGGATCAAGTTTAAAGTGCCAAAATCAAAACACGAAAAACTTAACAAGAAAAAAATTATCCTTTAATAACATTAAGGATTAATGTTATATTTGTAATAATTACAAATATTTGTCGGGCTTAAAACTTTCTTAAATTTAATTTACAAAATAAATCGTAACCCTATGTATTTGTAATTTCCCCGTACTTTTTTAATTATCTGCAAATTATTTTATTAAGTTATGAATATTTTATACTAATTTATAAAAAAATTTCTATTTTTGCAATTTTAATTTAATATGATTACTTCTTACCTCGTATCACATCAAGTAGGTATATAATTAATTAATATTTTTCAAGAACCGAGTGTATGTAAACATAATTTATATATATATATTTCTACATTTAACCCATAAATCATGAAATAATATTAAGTAATATAAAAAAAATAATTTTTTTCATTTTAATAGAAAAAAAAACAAAAATTATTAAATAGAATTTTCAAATCCAAAAAATTTTCAAATAAAATTATTTGTATATTTCATGAATATATTTTTTGCAAAATAGTAAATTATTAGGCTGGAAAAGAAGAGAGAAAAAATAAAAATGTTTGTATAGTTTGTACGTAGATGGTATATATATGCATAATGGGTTATTCATTATCGATTTGAAATAAGGAAAATTTAATGATAAACCTTGTAGCACAATTTTATATAATTTGACAATTATGACATATTTTGATAAAATTATTTAAATTATTTTTGATAAAACTCATCAAAGTACAATAAAAATATTAATATAGAATCAGAGAGTATCGCATTCCTAAAAGCCCATTTAACAATAAATTTTCTGCTCAAATTAATATTCTAAAAGCTTTCCAATTTTTTGAGTGATAAAACAATCCAAACATTTATATTCTTTAACAGACTCCGCAAATGTACGTATACGTCAAATTTAGTGACATATCACATATTTGACACCTGTCACATAATATTTTCTCACGAAATTCGAAACTTATTACTTATTATGTAATTATCGAAAACTTAATGCACAAACATACATGTGTTTTTCTTCAAATGATTCACAATAATTTATTTTTATCGAAAACAAAAAAAAACATGTTTGTTCAAAAAAAGAAAAACATTCGCGGAAGCATTTTCATTACAAAAAAATAAAGTAAAATCTAGTGGTGTTTTTTAATGAGAATTTTCCATAAATCTTTAACGAGTCATGTTTTTTAAGAGTCTATTTGAATTTGTTTTAATGTACTTTATACATAGTATACAATTTTTAAATAGAACCATTTCAGATTCTACAACATTCTATTTTTCTTTTCTTTATTTGAAAAATTCACAAGAAAATACAAAAAAAAACGTAATCTTTAAAAAAATAAAATTTTTACACCATTAACAGAATTTATCATTTCAAATATTTTATGTACTATATTCACATTTAGAATATTAGAAGACATGTCATCTTCTCGGATAATGTCATGTATTATTTAGTAATTCAGTTATTCTTCACCATATTGTTTATAGTGTAGTGGAGGTGACGAAGAGTGTGTATTCACCTTTTATACTGGATGAAAAGGAAAATGTATTTTTTCTTTTTTTTTTCTTTTTTTTTTCTTTTGTACATGTTATTTTAATACAAATATAATTACGAACGTGAGAGAAATTTTTTATAAATTTGTGTGTTTGTGTAGTAATTTTAATTTTAAGGTCCTATAATAAATTTTATTTAAAAGGAAAATTTTTATAATTTAATGATTATATTTCATAATAAATTTTAGTATTATCATTAACAATTTGGTAATTGTGAGTAATGGAAGAATAAATTTAAGCATCACGTTCACATTATCTTATACCTCTTAATACGAGTGTATGTACCTATGTATATATAGAGTTACAAGTTAATATTTAAAGTTATAATTTAACATATTTTTTTGAAATTTTCAGTTGATTTGTGAGCATAAATAATATTTATGTATGTATATGTATGTATTTTTAAATACAATATTCAGAAATCAAAATACTTGAATATGTAATTCAAGTGGATTTTCACTAATAGACTAGAATTTGCAGACGACATAACCCTACTTGCCCACACACACAAGAGTAAAACTAAAAATATGAGAATTAACCCTCGAAATAATGATCCACTAAAAAACAACACACAAATAGAAGATGTTACTGAATTTAGCTCCTTTGGTAGCATAAATTTTACGAATAGAGATGCTGAAAAAGGCATGTAGAACCGTATGTAACTGATATTTAGGAGACTGGTCGGTTTGGAGACATCTGAGACTCTTGAGACATACTTAAAATCAGTGCTCTAATGGAAATTAGAGCCAAAGTGACTTATAAAGTAAAACTGCATATATAAATTTATATGTTATTTTGGCCAAGAATAATCGGGAACTCACAGATCTGGGAGATAACAGAGCAGGAACCTTTTGAGATCCAAATAAAATCTATATCGCTAGCCATAAAGTTATATGTATAATAAAGTGCTATTAGAAACACTTAATTAGTAATTACGTCATAATGCTAACATCGAAGCATTACATTAATTAGATCCTTTTTTTTTTTACCTACTTACGGTATATGAGAACTTTTAAGTATTCTGATATATCTACATATAAAATGACATGGTCTAAATAAATTAGTTTTTAGTGTGCGTTACAAGTTTTATACCCTATAAATATTTTGTGATTATGTTTTGTTGAAAACTCATATAGTCCTTGAATATTAAATTAAAAATACCTACGTGCATATTACATAATTATATTATATTTATTATCGATTATTAATAGTTGAATACAAGTAAATACACATATATACACATATTTGTTTGTATACATTATCGCAATTTAATAAATTAATTTATAAATAGGCATACAAAGAGATAATTTGAATATTAAACTTAGTTTAATATTATTAAAAAAGTTTAACAAAATTTATTTTTATCTTTAATCTTTTAAATAACATAATAATATAGTCATTATTAATATACATAATGTATTAATTTTATTATGAAAATATTGTAAACTTTTAGTTAAGTATACATAACATAAAAATGTATATATGATTATAGTTCAAATTAGATTGAAATGTGAAGAACAAAAACTATGTATAAGCTTTTTAATTTGTCATTTTATCAGATTAGAATATTTGATGCCTTGTACACAACATTTGAGTAGTTTTTTAATTTGTTAAAAACTTAAAAAACGCGACAAAGATAGGCAATTTTTACATGTTACCACGAAATAAAAATTTCTAATGGAAATTCTTTATAAATATTTAGTTATGATAAATTAGGCAAACGGAAATGACCTATCAGGGGTTCCTCTTCCGGTGTCAGGGTTCCGATGGATAATTTTAAGGGTTTGTATTGCATGGGCAGCTGTCGAGTGTTAATTTGATAGTGGCCGATGTGCCTTATTGTTGACCTAGTGTATGGCGTTTACGTGGGTTGCCGGGCGGGACAATCAAATGCATATTGAAATACTTATAATTTACATACTATACGTTATATGTTATACTCATATCTAATTCATAACCTCATAACAAATATATAGTTATTGATTTATATATAGTAGAAGTTTAACTACGATGTTGATTTAAACATCGGAATATAAAATTTGTGACTTACATTTGTATTCCTATATTATGATTTTATTATACCTATATTATAATAGTATTGTTGTAATATAATTCAAGTATTTTATCATTTAATTAATCAAATAAAATTAAATAATTTATACATAAAATTTATATAGTAAAATTATATACGTATATGCTATTAAAAATGTTCAATCTAACTTTAAATCAAAAAGAAATATTTTCAACAATAAAATGTAGTGATTTAGTGACAACGATAAAATAATTGAAAATTACAATAAAATTAAATTTGTTAAATAAAATTAAATTTTTATTCTTTAAAATCAAATAATATAAATAGTTTTGTTACATATTATAGAAGAATACATTCTTAAATACAAAAAAAAAAAATAATTTGAATTAAAAATTTTTATCATTAAATAATATTAAATATTTAAATTAAAAAATATTATGTATAATTAATCATATATAAAAATTAAAATATTTTTAATAGAAATTAATAAAATTATGAGTGATATTATAAATTATTTGCAATATAAAATGCAATTCATATTAATTTATTTAATTGAAACAAAGTGATAAGAAATTTCAATAAATATTCAAATATAATAATTAAATATTAAATTATATACGAAAAAATATTTAAAAAAAAATTATTTAAATAATTAGGGGTTGTGTTTTTTAATGAAATGTGTTGTGTTTTTTTTGCGTTGTTTATAACATTTAACCTTAAAAAATAATATAAAAATATAGTTAATAAATTAAGGCACTAATTTAAAAATAAAACTTGTATGTATATTCTATATATGCATATACATTCTTATTTTATAAAATTTATTTTGAAAATAATTTAAATTATAACTAATGAAATCATAATACCATGCTCCCAGAGCATAATAGAAAATCATTTAACGAAAGGAATAATCTTAATATTAATAAAATATCGCTTGAACCTATACATCAAACAATAGATACAACCGATACAACAGCAACTACAACAACTACAACAGTAACAGATCAATCGAATACAAATATAATTTATATAACATCAAGTATAAAAGAGGAAGTAGAAGATATTAAACAACAGCAACAGCAAAAATTACATGAAAAATTAACATCAGAATATTCAACAATAACAATATTATCACCAACCGATATAATACATACAACAAATGAAACTGTTGATTTGAATACAAATTTAGATAATTTAGGTAATACACCTAAAAAACAACATTCATTATTAAATACAAAAAATGGTATTAAAAAATCAAATAAAAAGTCAAAATTAAAAAAAAATAATAATAAAAAACAATTTAAATGTCATAAAATACCGTTAATATCATTTCAAGATAATTTCAATGAAACAAGATATCGTAGTGGACGTCGTATTAATGGTATACAATTGCCATTGCATCCATTGCAAATACTAGGTTGGATAATATTAATAATATTTGGTTTATCATCATTTATTGTTATAATACCAACATTTACAATTGAAATACAACAAATATTATATGGTCTATTAATTAGTTTATTTTTAATACATACAATATCACATATAACAGCATTATTATTAGATCCAGCTGATAAAGAATTACGTCGTTTACATCATAATGATCGTATTGTACCAGAATTTGATAGAACAAAACATTCACATGTAATTGAAAATGGTAGATGCCATTTATGTAACATTAAAACAACATGTAATAGAACAAAACATTGTTCTGTGTGTAATAAATGTGTTGGTAAATTTGATCATCATTGTAAATGGTTAAATCATTGTATTGGTGGTAGAAATTATGTTGCATTTCTAATGTGTGTTGTTAGTGCCGTGATAGCAACATTGGTCATATTGACCGCAGTTATAGCACAATTATTATTATATTTTTTTAATAAAAATTGGTTAAATATATGGTGGTTAAATAATAATACAAATAATAATGATACTGCAACATTATACAAATTAATAAATGATACTGAAACAATATCATCATCATTTATTGATGGTATACAACAATCAATTAAAAATGTATTTTATAATAATATTAACAATAATAATAATGATACAATAATTAATAATATAAATTTAAATCCCTTAGATGATATATCAATAACTGATTTATTTAATGAAACAAATTTATATTTTGATAATAATACAAAATTTTTATTAGAAACTGGTGATAATTTAACAGTATCCATACCAAAAACTGTATTAAAAACATTTGAAAATGTAACATCATCTGTTCCAACAAATGTTATTAATGGTATAACAAAAGCATCAAATGATAATTTACATAATACAGGTGGTATAAGTCCTTCAACAACAAGTGGTAGTTCAACAGTATCCACAACAACATCATCAGGTAATGAACAATCTGATACAATTAATTTATATAACGATGAGGGAATTAGTTTACATGATACAATATTTTTAATTTTTATTGGATTCATTGGTGTATTAGCAGCTGTAACAGCTGGTTTATTATTACATTTATGCTTCTTTCATATTTATATATCATTCTTAGGTTTAACAACCTATGAATATATAAGAAATCATCGTCAAAATAATAATGCTAAGTCAAATATTCCAAGTACAGCGCCACCTTCACAACAACAACATCATTCTCAACAATCATCAAATATATTAACTTCAACATCATTGGGAGATCAAAAGAATCCGTCCAAATTATTTTTCAGAAATTTTGATCCGCGAAATTCACAAATCTATTGTTGTTCCAATGTTAAACATTCAAATCTGTTAAATAATTTATATCATCGGCCTAATAAATTGCATTGCTGTGAAAGATCTAGAGAATATATTGATAGATCGACAATTTCGAGTGTACCGTCAACATCCAGAGAATATTATCAAAAATCATTAAGAACATATTATTTATGTTCATTGCTTGAGGAAACATCAAAATTGGAGCATGAACATCTTCAACATCATCATTATCAACAACATCAACAGCGTCAACAACAACAACAACAATATTTACAAAATGAACGATATTTCAATCAAAAAACATTTCATTGCTGCAGTCAATTTGATAAAAATGAAAATTATACAAAACAACATAATGATGATGTTGAAGAGCATACGCAACGAGCAATGCTGCATTTTAGTGAAAAATGTACATTTTGTTCATTTCATATAACACCATCACTTTATGATGATAATGATCGAAATACAACAACAACAACTATTGGTTTAACAAAATCTGATAATATAATAGCATCAACAACAACAACTACAACAAGAGAAGATAAACGTTGTTGTAATTTGAAAACCATTAAAAAACCACATAGATGGCGTCGTAAATGGAATTGTTGTTCAAATATACCAGATAGTCCAGATGTGCCGAACGATATTATCGCAACAATTTCAAATTCCCTACCATCTACAAATATTTCTGATAGATTAGAATTAAATAAAAATTCTATACATGTTATAAATGATCCAACACAAATTCCTCCACATTTTATTAGATCAAATAATGATAATAATGAATTAAGTATAGAACAGCAATTACAACATCAACAATATCATCATCATCATCATAATCAACAGCAGCAGCAACAACAGCAACAACAAAAAAATATAAAAATGCCAAATCGTTCTAAATTAATTCGTCCCTGGCCTGTTAAACGTTTTCGCCATATGTTACGTGTAATAGGTAGATATCGCCGTCCACATTGTCGACATACAACAAATAATACAAATAATTTAGGTAATATAACATCTATTAAACAAAATCAAGTACGTCCTGCAACAACAAATAATATAGGATCAACAACAACAACATCTGTTAATATATGTAATAATGATCATTCAATTTTAAATGATAATTGTCCAAGTTCTCATTGTAATTATTCTGATTCAAATACAAATGAAACAATAAATAATCGAAAAGATGATGTTTTTTATAGAAAATTAAATGAATTAACAATGCCAACTTTACCACCACCAACACGTCGTAAATTACCAAATCCAACTGATTTAGATGAATTAGCTGCAACATTAGGTTATGTAAATACATCCAGTTTAATTGATGAACAACAACAACAGCAATTAAAAAATGCATATAGACGTCAGAGACGTAAAAATTTATTACGTACAAGATCTCCAACATTATCACCAATACATGAATCTGGTTTATCAAATCCAACTTCACCACAACCATGTAGACATGGTTCATCCTCTTTATCTTCAATAAATGCATCAACAACAACAACAACAGCAATTTCAATAACTGATGCAACAGTAACGACAACAACAGCATCATCATCACCTTTAAAAAAAATTTCAAAAAATGGTTGTGGATTAAATAACAATAATAAAATGACTGATGTTGTAGTTTCTAATTTTAAATGATTATTTTAGTTACCTCATGTGGAAAAAATATTCTAAAATTGCAAACAGTTTTATTTTTTAATTAATTTTCTCTTTTTTTTATAAAAAATACTTTTTATTTATTATTAAAATTAATTTTCTATTCCTAATTTCAAATAAATCAATTTATTTTGACAATATTTTTATCATTTGTTGTTTACACATTAAAAAATAATTGAAAAATTTTGCGTCCGTTAAGTGCATTAGAAAAATTTGATAAAAAAATCAAAAAGAAAAGAATAAACAATAATTTAAGAATTTAAAATTGAATTGTTTTTAAAAAAGAAATCATAAATTAACATTAAATTTTATTTTATTTATTTCAAAATTCTTTACATGTACGAATTTATGTTAATTTCTACAAAATGATAAAATAATAGAAGATAAAATAGAAAAAAATCTGACATTTAACTTGGAAGTTTGACTAAACTTCGAAATTATAAAACTACATTCCACAAATTTTAACGTCATACAAAATCTTAATTCAAAGGTAGTAAGAAATTTTTCTATAAAATATTTTAGCATTTAAAAAAAAAACAATTAAAAACAATTTTTATTCCATCCCATTTGGCAAAATGCGCCTTTTCAAAAACAATGTTCAAATGATTAGACATTGAAATTTTATCTTTGTTCAAAAAGAGAAAAGAGATAGATTGTTATCTCATATTCATTTTACAATTCACAATAACAACTTTTGACATTTTTCCTTAAATTACGCCCTAAGATATGCAAAATTAGATAAAAACTTATGTACTCGTATTAATATTTTGTTTTTATTATTTTCCATTTCTATAGCTAGCTAAGTTTTTGTTTTCGAATTCATTTAAAATAAATAAATAATTTTTTTTAAACAGAATTTCAATTTGATATGAAATAAAATGTCAAAAGTTATTCTATATAGACATTCTAAATATTATGAATTAACAGTTTTAAAAAACGTTCGCTTTGTTTATGTTTATAAACCAATACTGCTATAGATATAAGATATAAGTTATTCTTTGTTTTATTTATTGATTCCTAGATACATTTCTTATATTCGATCTTAAATTAAATTGAAAAAAAAACAATGAAAATTTATTTATAAAACAAGATGTAAAAGTTTTGGTAAAGGTACCATTGTTTTTGCTCTACTGCTTTTGTCGTAGGTAAAGAGCTCGCATTTTAAAATAATTTTTAATATGTATAAAAATATAGGAATAAATTTCTCTTCACTAGTATAATTAAAATTTTATTTTTTAAAATTTAAGGGAAATATTTTAAAAACTAAAATAAAAGTCATAAATATTTATATATGTATATGGATAATTTGGAATTTCAAATATTATGTAAAATAAATTTTTCTTTTAAATATTTGGTGTGAATTATAATTGCGAAAAAATTTTCATGTTTCTATGGCGATATTCCAACCTATAAGGCTTAAGTTTTACTAAAATATTTGCGACACATACTATTCTTCCCCTTAATTATATCTAGAATAACAATGTTCATACACATAATGTACATACATATATAAATTTGAATATGAAAAGGAATTCATAAATGTAATTTATTTGATTTTTTTTAATGATATTCTTTACAAAAAATCATTAAAAGTCGATTGAATCCATATTCAGAATTGTTGATAACGCGTCTAAAGTGTAAATAAAAAATAGTTGAGTTTAATAAATGGTTTAAAAAGTATAGCACATTTGAGTGAATTTAATAATTTTTTAAAAATTAATTGTTTTAAAAGCAATATTTTATATTAAAATAATTTTCATCACTGATCATTTTCATGTTTACGAGAAAATTACTCTTATCAAATTGTTTATTATAGATCTGTTAAAATATTAATTTAAACAGAGATATAGGGGTTTAGGTCTCAGATAAACTGATTTTAATATATAAAATTATATAACACTTATATGGAATAATTATTTTGTTTTATTTATATTTGCACATATGTATGTATGTACACATATGATTTAACGGCAGAAAAGGAAAGCTGGTTTTTCTCTACTTTTATGGAATTCAAGTAATGTTTGTGCTTTCGGCACAACAAGTTACCCATTTCATTCGTTGTTACATTACTTATAACCTTTTATACTAAATAGAATTGGCGGAAGGGAGGCCAGACCGAATAAAACTAAAAAAGAATATTTTTTCCCTCAATTTTATTGCAAATGTGCGCACAAAAATTTAAAACTTTTTATTAATTTTCACATATATTCTATGATTATAGTACAATTGTTTTTTTTTTTTGACTTAAAAAATTTCACATTTACACCCATACACAAAAATATTATAAAACACATAAATTTTTTTTTTTTTTGGTTTAAATATTTTTGTAAGTATATTCTAAATTTAAAATATAATTTCAATATGCATTTTAATTATAGAAATTCTAAATAAGTAACCACGCATATTTGTATGTATGGGTGTGATTATTTTTAGTCCTATTGTTTCTTATCTTTGTTTATTTTTTGTATACAAGTCCTTGACAATGACTTTTTTAATAAAGAATATATTAATTTTTTATATGGAATAAAATCAAAAATCATAGAGTAAAATTTTTTTTCAAGTGAATTCTAATGAGCAGAGAATAAAAAAGAAATATTTAATAACAAAAATTTGTGGAATTGTAATAAAATTAATGGCTATAGAAAAAAAACTTTGACTGTATTACTCGTACAACATAAAATTCTTATTGAACTATTTTGAATATTTTTTTCAATTTTAATTCTTATTTTTTTTTTCAATTTTTAACTGAAATTAATAACCATTATTTAAAAAATTTGTACTCTTAATATTTTTTTTGGAAAACAAAAAATTATATCTGAATAAATTAATTAATGAAAATAAAATAATAAAGACCTAGAAAAAAAGATGAAATTTGTGTAAAAAAATAATTAATTATATAACAAATTTATATAGGAAATGCGCTGTCGTATAATATAAAATCGCTTCTATATTGCTTTATGATGTGAAATTTTTAATTTATATAACAATTGTATAACAATATTTATAAGTGTTTATATTTATAAATAAAATAAATATTTCAATTTTCAACACAAAAAAAAATAAAATTTATTTTATATTTTTTACATATTGTTTCTGTAATTTTCATTTATTTTAATTTTAATTTAGATATTTATAAAGTTTTTGTGATACAAATACATATAACAAAGTTAATTATACAAAAATAAAAATAATTACATAAAAATAAAACTACATAAAAATAAATTAATAAATTAAATTAAATCAAAAATAATAACTAAATTTAAATTCCAATTTATATTATATTCATTAAAGTGAAAAAAAAATTAAACTGGCAAAATAAAACCAAATTACCTTATTAATTAATTTTAATTAATATTGAAATTCTATATATATGTATGGATATATGTATATGAATAGTTGCATAGTAGAAATTTAAAATTTCTTTAAAATAAATAGGGAATTTTTTGAATTTATCATTTTTTTATTATAATATAAACATAATTACCTATTTCTTATTAAAATGACAAATTAAAAAAATTATTATAAATTTATTTTTCAATTATTAATTTAAAAAATTTTATAATTACTTTTTGATTATAATTGAATATTAATTATATATGTAACAAAGGCTTACAACTCTATAAAATTTTTAATATTAAAGTTTATTTATGCGATTAAAATCAATAATTAAAAAATATTTAAAATATTTTTGACTTATGTTAAGGGAACATTATTGTTATTATCTTGCTTTAGTTTAAACCGTCCATAATCCATAATCTGAAATTCCATATGTAATGTAGTTCGAATTTCCTGATTATACCAAATATTTTTCTAAAAAAATTGAAAATTTTTAAAAAATTCCCATTTCGTACTACAGCAAACAGAGTTTATACTATTGGTATGCCTTTTGTTACAATAATATAATTTATTAATATAAACTATTTTATTTTTATAATTGTATATAAAAAAAATGTTATCAAACAACGAAAATTACAATAAAACTAGAAAAGTAATAAAATATTAGGTAATTGTATTCGAATTTTAATAATTATTGCGTAGATTTCATCTCTAGTTTGAACTAATTAATTACTTTGATTTTACAATGCTATAATATAATATTGGTAATAAATATATTAATTTTTATTATATGGTCTCGATAAATTTATATCCACTTTAATTGTAATAAAGAAGAAAGCAATAAAATACTATCAGTATTTAATTAGATTATCGTATTTAATAAAATATTTACATTATAAAAATGTCATGAACAAATAAATGTCATTTTGTCTAATCATTCCTATATCATTCACGGTAGAATTTATTTAAACGAAATAAAATTTTTTATATTATTCTTAATGCAGTTGCATTACTATATTTTATGATTTGCATTCATGATTCCTTTCAATTAATGAACTAAAATATTTATACAGGACATTTTTTTTTTTTGTACAATAAAATTGAATGACTCAAACTAGAAATGAACTCCGCATTTATGGTTCTAAAAAAAATAATTTTTGAAATTTAACCTTTTTTGTTATAACTAATTTTCATTAATTATTTAAAGCTTATTAAAATTAATTTGTTTTTTTTTGTTTAACATGCCAGAGCTACATACGTGAATTTACAATTTAATTTAACCTAAAATTCACAAAGCGATACAAATGAGATTGAAAAAATTTTTATAATTATAAAATTTAAATTTTCATATTTGAATTAGATCAGAAGAAAATAAACATAAATATTATTAAAATTAAATTAATTCTTAAATAAAAATTTAATATATTATTTTTTTTATTCAAAAAATTTATTTTTTTAATAATATTAAGTATATAGTTTGAAAAACAAATATAAATAAAGCATAACATTTATTGTGAATAACGTAGATAATAAAATAAAATTTGAATTAAAATCGCGTGTTTTATTAATTTATAATTAAAATTATACGTAAAATATATATATAGTAAAAGTAAATAAATAATGAAATCAGAAAATTTTTTGTAAATATGGAGAA